AGAAGCTGAAGTGTATCCGCAGTGATAATGGTGGAGAGTATTCTGGACCATTTGATGCTTATTGCAAAGAGCATGGTATAAGGCATCAGTTCACGCCGCCTAAGACTCCACAGTTGAACGGGTTGGCTGAAAGGATGAATAGAACGATTGTCGAGAGGATGAGATGTTTGATCTCACAGTCAGGCTTATCGATGACTTTTGGGGAGAAGCTTTGAACACTGTGGTTCATGTGCTAAATTTGTCACCGAGTGCTCCATTGGAGGGTGATATTCCAGAGAGGGTTTGGACTGGTAAGGATGTTTCTTACAGTCACTTAAGGGTCTTTGGGTGTAAGGCATTTGTTTATATTCCCAAGGATGAGAGATCGAAGCTTGAGATAAAGTCACGGCAGTGTGTGTTCATCGGTTATGGTCAGGAAGAGTTCGGGTACAGATTTTATGATCCCATTGAGAAGAAGCTCGTAAGGAGCAGAGATGTTGTGTTCATGGAAGATCAAACGATAAAGGACATTGACAAGTCCAGAAATCCAACTCAGGTTTTTGAGGGTTTGATCGATACAGAGGTTACTCCTTCTACATCGGTCCACGATGAGGTTGAGGTTGAGGTTCAGGATAATACACCCAGTGCAGATGCTCCCGCACATGAAGATGGTAGTGGTGATCATGGTGACGATCATGGTGAGACACCAACTGCTGAGAACCAACCTACTGTTGTTAGAAGATCAGAAAGAGGTCTTAAACTGTCGACAAGGTATGATCCTAGTGAGTATGTTTTACTTACTGATGGGGGAGAGCCTGAAAGCTATGATGAAGCTTTGGAGGATGAACACAAGGATATGTGGTTTGGAGCCATTGATGAGGAAATGGATTCTTTTAAAGAGAATCATACATTTGAGTTGGTGAAATTGCCTAAGGGCAAGAAAGCTCTACTTAATAAATGGGTGTTCAGAATTAAGCATCAGGATACAGGTTTGCCACCTAGATTCAAGGCTAGATTGGTTGTGAAAGGCTACAGCCAAAAGAAGGGGATTGATTATGATGAAATCTTTTTTCCTGTTGTGAAGATGTCATCCATTCGGGTTGTTCTTGGATTGGCAGCGAGCCTTGATCTAGAGGTTGAGCAAATGGATGTGAAGACTGCTTTCCTTCATGGTGATTTGGAGGAAGAGATTTACATAGAACAACCAGAAGGCTATGTGAAAAAGGGCAAAGAAGACCGTTTGAAGAAAAACCTTTATGGATTGAAGCAAGCACCGAGGCAGTGGTACATGAAGTTCAAGTCTGTTATGGGAGAGCATGGTTATGCAGAGACTGATTCAGACCAATGCGTATTTGTGAAGGTGTTTGGTGATGATGATTTTATCATCTTGTTGTTGTATGTCGATGATATGTTGATTGTGGGCAGGAACATGGAGAGAATTAAGGAGCTGAAAGATCAGCTAAGCATGTCCTTTGCCATGAAAGATATGAGTCCAGCGAAACAGATTCTTGGTATGAGAATTGCTCGAGACAGAAGTGAGAAGCTGATTCACTTATCTCAGGAGAAGTACATTGAGAAGGTACTTAAACGGTTTCATATGGACAAGTCTAAAGTGTTGAGTACTCCTCTCGCTCCGCACTTAAGATTGAGCAGTCAACAAAGTCCGAAGACATATGCTGAGAAGGAAGATATGGCGAAGGTTCCATATGCTTCTGCAGTGGGTAGTTTGATGTATGCCATGGTCTGTACAAGACCGGATTTAGCCTACGCCGTTGGAGTTGTCAGCAGNTCTGCAGTGGGTAGTTTGATGTATGCCATGGTCTGTACAAGACCGGATTTAGCCTACGCCGTTGGAGTTGTCAGCAGGTTTATCTCCAATCCAGGAAGAGAACACTGGAATGCTGTGAAGTGGATCTTGAGATATCTCAGAGGGACTTCTGATCTGAAGATTACTTTCGGGGGTAAGAAGCTTTCACTTGTCTTTTTCATTGATTCTGACATGTTCTACTTCGGGTTACTTGGTAACATTTGCGGGTGGAGCTGTGGCATGGCAGTCAAGGCTACAAAAGTGCGTTGCACTATCTACCACTGAGGCAGAGTTCATTGATGCAACTGAAGCTTGTAAAGAGTTGTTGTGGATGAAGAACTTCTGTGAAGAGATCGGTTTCAAGCAAGAAAATTATGCGCTACTTTGTGATAGTCAAAGCGCAATTTGTCTCGGTAAGAACTCTACATTTCATTCGAAGTCAAAACACATTCAGAAGAGGTATCATTGGATACGAGATGTGGTTGCTTCTAAGGAAGTGGAACTTGAGAAAGTTCATACGGATGATAATGTGGCTGATATGATGACAAAGTCTTTACCGAAGAAGAAGCTTGAAGTATGCCGAGGGATAGCCGGAATGGCTGTTTCCTCCACCTAGTCGGAGGGGGAGTTTGTTGGGTTCCTTCTAGATGGAGGAAACCCATTGGGTTTGGTTGGTGATAACCAAACTTGGATGTTGGGCCAATGATATTTATCCATGAGATTAGTATTGGGACTTGTGGTTAGTGAGACACTATATAAAGTCTCTTAACCTAATTTTGTGGCAAGACTTTTGGAGATACACAAGAAGAAAGAAAGGAGGCAAAAGAGAGAAAAGAGAGAAGAGGCAGATTTTCGTCTAGGTTTGTCAAGACAGATTTGGAGGGTCAAACGAATTCCTTTTGAGCTGATATTTTGTGGGAAGCTTCTTCAGTCAGTGGGTTAAAGGTTCACCGAAGGGATTTGGATTTCAACGGTTGGATCTTCTGTTATCTGGGTTTTCTTGAAGCTGGTCGTCACAGTTCTTCAGCAGTGCTGTCTTGAGTGTTTGGTAAATCCGACGGTGAGATCTTCTCTGTTTGAGCTGAAATTTGGCAGAGCTATTGTTGACTTGTTTATCTTGGATTTGTACGGTGGGATTAGTCTCTGGTTGCCGGAATACTAGTGATCTGAGGTCGTTTGGTTGCTGCCGGTTTTGAAGCTTTGGTGTTACTCTCTTGTTGTTGTTCTTGTGTTGGAGATAGCTCTTTGTAGCTAAAGTCTCTGTTCTATTCAGGTTGTTGAACAGGGAGCACTTGGTTGTACTCACATACATTTATATAGTGGATTGTTGAGTGGACTACGGTCCCGTGGTTCTTCCTTCTCACATTGAGGAGGTTTTCCACGTAAAAAGTGCTTGTCTCATTTAGTTATCGCTTATATTATATCCTGCTATCGTCGAAGTATTTTCCTCATAGATTCACACAAGGTCAGGGGAACTTGAACACATATTCCGCTGCGCCGTGTCCCGTTTTCCCCAACACTAAGAGACGAGATCTTCCACGATTATCTACAACATGTAATACATGCTCATGTGAAGAGACGAGATCTTCCACATTCATATAACTTCAAATTATATCAAATTGAAAATCTCTTCACATGACCATATATTACCTAAGGGAAACAGTGAATTAATGAGCAAAAGTATGGGAAAAGAAAACAAATAACGTAACAATAATGATTTAGTTGTTATTCGAAATAAATAAAAATAATCGAGTAATTATTTGTTTTTATTTTGTTTTGTCCTAATCATCCGAAATTTTCAAGAATGATATTAAACCCAAAATTATCAATTAAATAAAAAATAAAAAAAAAACAAAGGCAAAAAAACCCGCATTTGAACAGGGTCAATGATCCCTAGTATATGATATAGTTCCATAGCTACATACATGCATATCCTGCGCGTAACATGGACTGACCCTAGTCTTATCCTATATAATAAAGTTAGTTTAGAAAAAACTGTCATGTGTCACCTCATTAAAGTTTAAGAAATTATTTGTTGGATTTTAGAAAAAAATTATATTATTTTAGAAAAAATATATTATTGGTAAAATGCATATTTTTGGGGGGTTTTATTGTTGTAGATTGCGTTTAAACTTTTGGATTATAGGGATCTTTTAATATTATAGGTTTATTCGTCATCTTCGTTTGAGATCCCTAGATCAGCCGACGTGGGTTGTAGATATCAGAATATATTATCAACTCTCCGTAATGCCTCGACGCACGTTTGATTCACACCTTCTTTCCTCCTATTTTATAAGTGATAACCAACTCTGGATCACTGAAACCACCTTATTGCATCCCGAAAATAACCATGTAGAGGTGTGAGTATATATATCCCTTTTGAACAACACAACTTCGACGAGCACTAGAAGAAAAGTTTGTTCAACTTTCCGATTGCTACAATGGTGATTTATTCCATTTTCCTTGCTGATTTGAAAGATGGGCGCTGCCCCAACACCAACGAGGTTCACTTGCTGAGGGTTTGGGAGGCCAGAAATGTGAGGAAAGGCGGTGAGCTCATGAGTCTAGACATGCTCCTCATCGACGAGAATGTAAGCATCTTCTTTCCGATTAACGATGTTGATGATTGGTTCCATTATGATTGTCTAAAAAAAATAATTTGTCATTTCTAACAATCGATGGTTATTCAAAGTTGTGTTAATGTGAACCGTCAATTCATGTTCAGGCAGCGTCTCAGCAAAGGGTCAGTTTACATGTTGAGCGGGTTCGATGTAACACGCAGAAACCCCAATTTCCGGATGTTGGATGCTACCTTTTCCATTCGGTTCAATAATAGAACATATTGAGTTAAGAAAACAACATTTATTAGGTCCATACCTACTGAACTTTTCAGATTCCTAACCTGGTCTAAAGTATAAATATGATATTACTGAAATCTTAAGTTATACTTATAAGTATTAGGCATTGTGTGTTCATTACTAACTTTTAATTTAGGGAAATTAGCAGCTAAGAAACACATTGAAATAAAACTTGATACCCAATTGTTAATAGGAAATTAATGAAAACTTATAGCCAAAAACAGTACATAGTTAAAATGAAGACTTCATAACAATTAGTAAATAACATAAAATAATATATAACAGATAAAAAAATAATGAACAAGAGATAAATTTTCTTTCTTATGATAGCAAGAGATTAACGATTATTGTATATCTAAATAAATTTTATAAGAGAGAAATCATATGTTATGAATTCCTTAAAATATTCAAGCATAAATTTAATATGGATATAAAAATTAAAAATAGACTATTTGTAAACACACAAAAAGAGATGCTATATTAAATAAGATAAAAATAATCGTAGAAATCAAACTATATAATCTAAAATAAGACAAATGCACCAAAAATATATAATTCCAAAATAAAAATAGTCTTAGTCTAACTAAAGTGTATCAATAACTTTATTTTGAAATTAAGTTTTTGCAACGAGAGTAAGACCGAATATCAAAGCATTAAACAATTTTAATAGAAACTGATACAAATAGTAATTAAATAAAATAATTCATATATAATGATATGAAAATATTTCAAAATAAAAACAAGTGTTAAACAAAATACCTAATAGAAAACAAATTCATGGGTCAACTACTAGAGAAAAAATTAATTATTTATAGAACAAAAAAAAAATTTAATAACTAAAAATTTAAAAGTAAATGTATAAAATAGAGAAAGTAAATGATTTCTGTATTGGATTTTAATAGTTTATGATTTCTGTATTGGATTTAAATTATTCCTATGATTATGATTCTATCTATATGGTGAAAATCAGAGTTTTGTTTAATATCAGAAGCCTGACGGTATTTTCAACATGAAATTTATCCTCAACTTTTCTTGAAAACAGGTAAACACACTTATATTTAAAATTATAAGATCTAAAATATGTTTATATTGATAAAACACAGCTTTGTACACATTCTTAAATTCTTATATATCAAGGAAATAGAAGTCAAATTTCTCTATAATATAAACGGATAATTTTTTTTTAAGGAATTAGAAAAAAAGAGAATGTGAGTAATTTCTATATACATATGTGAAGCTCTATTGAGAGTGAATTCCAATTTATATACTTAGTATATATATATATATATATATATATACCAATATGTTAACATTACTAATCTATCAATGAAAATTTCTTTTTTGAAAGCCTTAGTTTCAAAAAAAATAAATAAAATAAAATAAAATAAAATAAAATAATCTGCAATGCTATGTTACTAGCGTAGGACTAAGTATCATGTTAATGTTCATTAGTTTAGTCTTCACTGATTATGGGTTTTTATCTTTTTGTTGTTTTAACCTTTAAAAAGTCTATTTGTTGTGTTTCAGATAGTAAAATATTTTCATTTCAGTTCTGACTTTTTATAATTTCTTTTATTTTGGTTTGATCAATTTTTTACTGTTTTATGTTTATTACTAGATTTCTATTTTTAAAAGTATTTACAAAAAGAAATATGAATGTGTCAATTTTAATAGCTTATACCATATTTTAATATTGATATATATCTAAAAAATTATTTTATCAAGATCTTAAGTTATTATAAAACAAGCTTTCAAATATGTATGATATTATATAGATTTCTCAAAACATATTTTAAAAAAATGGTTTAGTGTTTCCAACTGCTTTATTTGAATGCATCTACTTCTTAGTTTAAGTTTATGTGCCATTGTATTTTAGATTTAGAAAACATGGGTCTTGAATATTATTTTATTTAAAATATTTTGGTAGTCATTACAATTTTATGATCATATATTTGGAAGTGAAATTGAAGCACGAGAGTTAATATTAGTTTACTCTAAACCAAAAGTACAATACATGTGGGCTTTTCTTTATATTCGGCCCTTATTCTTACTTATTTGAACCCAGTTAGATTAGGTATAATTCAAGGAGTGTCAACCCATTTTCACCTCTACGACTATAAAAAAATAAGCTTTTCTACTCAGAAAACATCTCCTCAATCCATCAAAACAAACCCAAATTTTATCTTCTGAGCAATGTTTAAGGCAACAATCTTTCTTTCTGATTCGATGACCGGTCACTGCTTCTCCACCGTTCAAGTGCGGTTGCTCTGGTTATGCGAGGCCAGGAACGTTTGACGCAATGGTGAACTGATGGGAGTGAATCTTTACTGGATTGACATGTTAGACTTTAATATTTTCTAGCATCTCCGTCATGTTCAATCGTTATTACCAAATTTATGGTTTAATTTTTTTTTGCCATATAATATGATTATTTTTTAGGGAGAATTTGTGAAATAACCAAATTTTGACATAATCAATTATCTACCAATTATGCTTGATTTGCGTCGATTTTACCCTTGGTTCGTACAAGTAACCGGTGACCAAAATATGTAGAAATGACGTAAATGTTTTGGAGTGTGGACATATTTAACAGGTAATAGTTTATAATAAGAGATAGAGAGAACATCCACGTCACTTATATTACCATATACATTTTTTATTATAGACAATAAAAGTGTGAATATAATACAACAATATCACATTAAATGGTGTATTCCATTTGTTTACACCATAAATTTATTCCATGTCACTTATGTTGCACATAGAAGACATAAATGTTTTATTCTATATCACTAAATAATATATGGCATCAATTCTATCTCAACATCTATAATATATATATTAAATATTATCCCAATCCACCTCAACCACTAAATACTAAATCCTAAATCCAAATATTAACCATAAACTCAAATATAAACCCTAAATCCAAATAGAATATAGAAAAATACATAACATAGTACATATTAGTCAATTATGAAATTGCTATGATTGCATGGAAGAAGATAATATTGGCCTCGACCCTATCCGCTCACCTTCTAAATACAAACTCTAAACTCTAATCAATAAACCCTAAACCCAAATATAAACCTTAATCACAAATATCAAAATCTAAAAAAGTACATAATATTATATAATATTAAATTATATTTATGTAATATTAAACCATACAATATAGATCATAGTACAATTTTTACTTGTTCAAAAACATGTAACGATAATTAGTTTAAAAAATTACAAACTATATGTCTAAACAACATAAAACACTCTTTATTAATCGTCAATTAGAATAAAACATGATAAAATGGTCTAGTAACAAAATATATTGCATTACATAATATGAATAGAACAAACAAAATACATATTGTTTTACATTTCTATTCTATTTTATATGTATTTAATAGAATAGAACATAATTTAACAAAACTTTTTATCTTATCCGATCAATTTTGGATCATTTACGGCGATAAAAGATAAATGTATCTGATGACATCAGGGAAGATAGTACATGTAATAGCAGAGAGAACAAATTTTATTTTTTGATACAGTAGTTGGAAAAGAAGAACATACAGTCGTAGAAACTATAATACGATGGGGGGGTGGGGGGGGGGTGATGATGCAATAATCGATTGTGATGATGGTGCCGATTGTATATATGGAGGTTCGTGCCACTGCATAAGTCTTGTCGCTCGTCACACGAATCTTCGAAGTTCTATTATTCACCACCATCTTTCACCATCGACAAAGATAATTTCATCAATAATCCCATGATCTGAGAAGAAAAGAATCATTTTGTCCAAATTAAAAAAAAAATTTACTTGCAGAAGGTGAATGAATAAAAAGCCACGAATTTCTTTTGTAAGCAATAATTATTAATGTAAATCTTATATATTAAGACAGAAGTCATGACTTCACTTCATGTGTGATTTTTTTAAAAAATGGACTGTCACTAAAAACTTATATTATATGTATTTCATAAAGCCTAAAAATATATAGAACCTTTAAAATACTTTAATCATAATATCTTTTGATATCTTTCATTTTAAATATAAATATATTTATTTAAATTGTAACAAACCAGTTTTAAAAAATTTTTATAAGATCTTCATTTTTGATATCATCTTTTAATATTTGCACTAATTCCAAATTAGTTTAAAATATTATTATAAATTAATATATTCAGTTAATTGTATAAAATAAAAAATCATATCATATTATTTATTATATAATCATAATCAATCATATTAAAAGAAAATTATTATATTAAACTAAATATAATAAATTGTATTAAATTGATAAATTTATATATTTTCTTTTCGTAAGTATAATATATTTATGTTCAAAAATAAAATCTAATATGTATGTAAGACGGGTTAACATTAGAAAACTATATAATACATGTATATAAACTAACATGTATTTCATTAAAGCTAATAATATAAAAGCTTTATAACTACTTTAATCATGTTATATTTTGCATTTTAAATATAAATATATATTTATATATTATATTTTTAAATTCTAATAAATATGTGTAAAAATATTTTAGAATAAGTTGATGTATTTTGTGTTATCGTTATAAAATGAAACATTTAATTATATCATATTTGATTTACTTCATAGTCATAATAATCATGTTAAAAGACAATTGTTATATGGAACTAAATATGATAAATGTATATTAAACTTATAAATTTTATTTTCATAAATATAAACTATTTATTTTAAAAATATAATATGATGACAGAACGGCTTAAAATTAGCAAACTATATAATACATGTCTAAAAATTAACATATCTTAAACTTTTGTATATACAATAAAATATTACCTAAAATGAATAAACAGAAAAAAATTGGTAAAAGAATCATGTTTTGAAGGTTGGGTCAGAATTTATCATAAATTAAATATAAAATAATTTTCCAATATGTTTTCTTATTAATATTAATTTGTTTAATAACTAAATGCAAATACAATGAGATAAATATATAATAAAAAGTGACAAATATACATATGGTTTTTAACAATTGATTAATATAACATGTAAATTATAAAATTACTGTATTTTAGATACTTATATAAGCATTTAAGTATATGATTAACGTTAAAAATATATACTACTGTTATAAAACAAATATTTATGTATATAAAAGTGAAAACAAACATCCGCGCGGTTGCGCGGATCAAAATCTAGTTATTATTATTTTACAAGTTGAGCCAGTTGCATACAAGGGTAAAAATGCATTATTATATAAAAGACATGTTGTATATTGGTATAGTAGGTCAATTGGTCAGTGAGTTAATTGTAATTTTTTGGACGTTATACAATGCATTTTTTCTATTTTTTATGGCTCCGTCGTGTTTAATCCTGAGTACAAGTTTTCTGTTTTGATTTTTGTATAAAATCAAACGCCACTGAACAACAAAAAATCTGTTTCACACATTATAAAACTGAGAAACATTTGCGAGTTATAAGATTTGGTAATTCTTATCTCTAATTTTCATTTTCTGAAATTGTCTTTGTAGTTTTGATCAAAACTTTTTGAAATGCTTGACATGAATCATCAACTGGTCCCTTTCTGTTTTTACAGGATTTTTCTGGTAAGAATATGTTGGATGCCGCTGCACACTACTTATTCTTACGCCTCTTCGACGGTTTCTCCTGTAGCTGCATCAGCGGATTCGCATATGCCCTACCCAATGTCGTTTGAGAGAAGCAAATCTAAGAGAGAGCCATGTTGAAGCATTTCCGCATTGACACTATAGCTGTTGCCAAAACTGCACGTAATCCTCCTAAGTCTTATATCATGCCACAAATTTAGAGACATAGTAAGAAGGTGGTACTTCTCTTTCTCTCTGTGCATACACTTTAATATGCAATAGGAGGAATTCAAAAATGCCTTTTTGTTCTTATTCTATGTTATCAGAAAAGACAGAACCATGAGCAAATAGAGGAAAAAAACAGTCTTGTAAAGACCTAACTAAAGAAACTGTTGCAGCATAAAATTTAAGCATGTAGCCCTTCTTCCATGGGTGCTATCTTGGAGCATAAACCTGTTTCTGTGGAGACAAACTTACAATCATTCTAAACCGTTGGATGACATCTACTACCTACACATAATCTCCTTTTCAGTTGGTTATAGCAGATTTACTAATTACTTTCTACCCTCATTTGCTTATGGCTAACAGGTGGATACGATGCACAAACTGAACAAACTTCAGGAAAATTGTCTTTAAGAAAAAAATTGAAGCTCAAATGCAAAGAAAAGAAACTAACTGTGGCCGAAACCAGCATTGACTAAGTTTTGTAACACAAAACTCCTAGGATTGGATTGGAATTAGTATTTATTTTGTAAATATGAAATCACTCAGTTGTTGTATGTGGTTTTATTGTAGAAAGAAGGATGAAAGAAACAAACGTAACCGCAAATATATCGTGGATCTTTTTGGTGTGTACAAAAAGTAGTAAGTAGTGGGAAACATGATTTGTTTCAAAAGCTGGTGCATAAGAAAATGCAAAGGGAAAGTATAATTTATTTCTGATAGCTAATATTTGGTAAGAAAATTATTTAATCTTTTGAATGTAACTGTAAATGTACTATTAGAACGGCTTTTACTTAAGAAGCATACAATGCTATACAAACACATTGTACATGATTAGAAGAAACATCATTTCTTTATTGAAGTTTGTTCATGTGAGAATGAACATATCAAACAATACAAACATTACAATCCAAAAACCTGAATATTCAAAAACATTACAATACAACATAGATTTGCATAAGTTCAAAAAAAAAAAACATAGATTTGCACTTGTTTAGACATGAAGCATAAACTGGAAAATCTTGAACCAGAAACCGGTCTTCCATCACAAGAAACATGATATAACAGTTTACTGGGTCTTCCTAGGGCGGAATTCGATTCCTTGAATGATCAAACCACTTTTCGAAGATTCGCTAAATTTTTCAAGACTGAACGAAATATCATCACAACAAGAATCATTGTAGAACTCACCAAGTTCAGATTCCATCCACCCATCTTCCCTCGCCTCTGGTCTTGTTACTTCTCCCGGTTCTGGCGCTACCCATGGACCAGGACTTAGAGGCCCAACAAAGTATATATAGTTATGAGAATCTTCTTGTCCAATCAACCCAACACTAGTATTTACCGGTGCATGTCCCAATCCAGGACATCCGTTCTTTGTCTTGAACACAATGTAAACCGAATAATGAGTTCTAGGAGACAGGTAACGAGTATGCATCTCACCACTAATAGTAACCCAATTTATATAGAGTAGCTCTGGTATTTTGTTAAACCTGCATTGCAACATTTTTTTTCCCATCTTCATTAGTCATTATCATCAGAAAAATGAGTACAATGGAACTGTAACAAGAATAAACGGAGTAACGTACCTAGATTCAGGAATTGAAATCCATTGCCAACATCGGGGATTACTTCCCCCATGGACCAACGCTTCCTTCAAAGATAACATGATACATTTTTTCCCACTCTCTTTCTCCAACCAGAAGCTCTATCATTTTGGGACAAAAAAAACTTGAAACAACCAGAACAAATTAATTAACCCAGGAGGTAAATCACATTCTTGTTCACATTATTCTCTAACATAAATAATGATACCAACAATGATGACTAAGGGTCTGACTGGTTGAAACGCGGCGGTTGCGATTGCGGTTGCGGGAGTTTGCGGAAGTGGGTGGTTGCGGTTTCTAGCGTTATTAGGCGATTTGTACGACTGGTACAGCGATTAAAAACTGGTGCGTTTGCGTGACATTTATGACTGGTTGATTATGAGATACTACAGCGGTTCAATAATAAATTTCCAATATTAACATATTATAACATTATA